TCATTCTCAACTCCACCTTTCCCTCGATGTCTTGCTCTGTGTTTCCCTGCTCCTTCAGCAGGTGCTGAGGCAAAGGGCCATTGGACAAATGCTTGTAAATAAAAAAAACTCAAAAAAACCTACAAGAGCTAATTTGAAATGAATGTGCACACAGCACAATCAAAGAGAAGTTGTCACCTGTTCAAGTCTTTTCCTCTGAAGCTCCAGCTCCATCTGTCTCACATCCAGATCCTGGATTGCTGCGGCTGTTTCTCGCTCTCTGAGATCCATCTGTGGTATAACAAGAAAACTGTAAAATGTAGTTATTACAACAACTCAATGTGACACACATCTTCAAAATATCCCTAAAATTAGGAAAAATACACAAAAACTTTTCATGTGATAATGATGGAGTGTTTTTTCACAAAAATCTAAAATTATAGTTATAAATCTGACTTTCTTTGTTAAACATTTTTTTCAGATTTTTTCCATTATAGTCGATTATAATAATCTTATCTATGACTATCTTTCTATATATATTTTTTAATTTGAAATTCAAATCAGGTATATTTTCAATAGAAATAAAAATATTTAATACTTGCAGTTCATTGTGTGCTGCCATTCTAATAACTTAAACGTCCTTCAATAGTCAAAGTCTAATGTTATCAAAACATAGTGTGTTACCTTCCTGTTTATCTCCTGGTCCAGTCTCTGGACCTGTGTGGCTCTCAGGTCCTGCTGATGTTTGAGGAAACGTCTCCTCGTTGTCTCCAGCATCTGTAACTCCTTCACCTTTAGCTCTCTCTTCATTGCAGCCAACCTGCAGAGGACAGAACCTCACTTTATATTCCTTTTTTTCTTTGTGATTCAAACATCACCTTGTCCTTTTTTTACTTTTCCCTCTGCTCTGTTAGTTTTTCCTCTTCTTGTTCCAGGATCTTCCTGCGTTGCTCCTCTGCCTTCTGTAGCAACTCCTGTTCACATCATTCACATTTCATGTCAAGCACACAATTGGTCCATGTCACAATTATTATTATTTTTGGTTAATTTTTACCTGTTGTTTGAAATAGGCCTCCTCCTCAGCCTGACGACGCACAAAGTCTGCTCTTA